CACTAGTTGAAAAGCAACCACCTAAAGAAAATTCTGTGGGAAGGAATAAGTAGGGGAAGGAATAAGTAGGGGAAGGGTGAGTTTGGGCAGCTTGTGTTTTAACAAGTCCTCCGGGTGCATCTGAAATTTGAATACCTTTATTTACTACTTCTACAGGTTTTTTCTTTCTTTGTTAGAACGTTTAGCATTTTAGCACATCTGCATTTTGTTTTGTGTAGAGTGTGAAGTGCACGTGTAAATTTAATCCCCACAATCAACACCACATTCAGAGTTCCAGGGCCACTGAATAGTTCAGTTGTAACTCATTCTGGCTCTCTTGTCCCACAGACATATTCATGAAGGATAAACTGGATTGCATGAGATCTAGGCTCTGGTTTTAATGATGCCACTAACTGACTTCGGGCCTTCAGGGTTAGCCTCAACCGGCCGCCTTGGTTGGGCTCCAGATCTAGAAGCGGATGGGCTGAACTGGGTTTCCCACCCCCTAGGGGAGTCCTGTTGTGGTGCTGTGGGTTAATGCGTCAGACTGCAAAGTCGTCTGAACTGCAAGGTTGGCGATTCAAGCTTATCAGCTGCTCCTTGGAAACCCTATACAGGGTCACTATGAGTCGGAATCGACTCGACAGCACTTAACAACAACAATAAGGAGACTCCTGGAGCAAAGTACAGACCCAAGGCGTCACCCGAGCCCGGCCGGGCTCCGCTCCCCACCCCGGGGCGCCGCACCCGCCACCGCGTACCCGGGCCCCCAGTCTCACCTCACAGGGCCCCACAAAGAGGATCTTGGCCTTCAGCATCGTGCGCAGCAGGCCCGCCCTCCCGAGCGCAGTGAGTACAGAACCCGTCCGGCGGACTGGCTATCTCTGTTTCCATGGAGACGGAGAAGCTGGCCGCAGGGGCCGATGGGACTCGGCGCCGCGGAAGGGCGGGGCGGCGCCGGGAAAGGGCGGAGCTCCGTGCTAAAGACTCGATTCTGCACGGGAAGGACGGCGGCGTTCTGGAAGACAAAACCTCGGGAGGGGTTTCATTCTCTGCCCTTAATCTCACCGAGCCCTGTGGTGGGACAGTTGGTTAAGCATCGCCTATTTGCCGGAAGAAGGGAGTTCAAACCAACCAGCGGCTCCGGTATAAAGCGTCACAGTCTCGGAAACCTCTATTCTGTGGGGTCCCTATGAGCTGGACAGAATGGCAGTGATTTTTTTCCTTTCATTTTCTAACTTTTGTGGCAGTGATTTTTTTTTTTTTTTAGCTGCTCCGCTGGAGAAAGATGACGCTTTCTGCTCCCGTAAAGATTTACAGCCTCAGAAACCCTGTACAGGGTCGCTATGAGTCGGTTCCGACTCATCCGCACTAACAATAACATCGTTTGGAGAAGCCCTGGTCGCACAGTGGGTGAAGCGAAAGGTCGGCGCTGTTGGAACTCATAGCACCGCAGAAGAAAGATGTGGCAGTTTGCTTCATTTAAGATTTACAGCGTTGCGAACCCTATAGCGTCAGTTCTCCTTTGCCCTACAGAATGACTATGCATCAGGATTCACTGGCCAGCAAATGGTCAAGGTGTAATCTCATTTATTCTTTCCAATAACCCCGAGGGAGCCCTGGCGTGGAGCTGTAGGATAAACACGAGACTGCTAACCACAGGTCTGTGGTTCAGACCCACCAGCAGCTCTTTGGAAACCCTATACTGATTAGTTATAAGTCAGAACCGACTGTATGGACACTTAATAATACCCGAGAGCTCAGGCCTTTAGAGGTGGTGAGCTGGCTTTGATACAGGGTCTTCCTACTCCTTGGTCACTCTGGCAGGATCCTGTCCTCAATAGTAATGGATTTGTCACAGCCCTGGGGCATCTAGAAAAGGTCAGGAAAGAAAGAGCCCCTGCTCTCGAAGGGGCTCACCATTCACCATCACTTGACTGATCTGGGACAAATCAAAAGAATGAAATGAAGCTCAGGCATTGTTCAGAATGGGTGTAGGAGTCTGCTAAATTTAGTCATTAGGTCAGCCTGGAATTCCAGCAACATCATTAGTACCGCCTCATCCACCAGGATCACTAGGATCAGAAAATAGTAACATGCAAGTGCTGGTGAGGCTGGGGAGAAATTGGAACCCCTCTGCGTTGCTGGTGTGAATGTAAAATGATACAGTTACTGTGGCAGTTCCTCAAAAAGTGAAACACGAGGGGATTGCACTCATTGAGCTGCAACCACGTGTATAAGTTGCTGAATGTAACATTGAAGATACTGTCTGTAAACAGTCACTCAATTCACAATAAACAGTGAAAACAAAAACAAAAGGAAAGCACAGTGCTACCATGTTGTTGTTAAGTGCCAAGTTGGTTCTGACTCATGGTGCTGCCAGTGATAAGACCCCAAAAATAAGAGGTACCCCAGAAAGATCTCCCCAGGTCTGCCCCTGCCACAAATATCCTGAGCAGTTTCAAATAACAAAAACTGACAAGTTTCAAAGGCTATATGTCCCAAACAATATCCAATTGTAGCTGCATGCTTAAACCCAATGTAACAAGATGTAGATAAACCACGAGTGTCAGTTCCCAGAATATGCCCAGACAGCCTTGGAAAACAAACACCAGGTGCCAGATTACAGAGATGTGTTGTGTTCCTTCATTCTAAGAGAATAACCTTGCTTTTTGCTTCTGTACTTGGCTTGCTCCCCCTTCCCTGAAGTTTTAGCCTTTTAAAAGCTGCCCCAACAGACAGCTCAGGGCTGCAAACCTTAGAGAGAGCCTGTTTGCAGACGCTGATTAGCAATAAAGACTGTTCGTTTCCTACTCTGTCTCTGGTGCGGTCTCTCCAATCTCATGCTCCAATTCTCAGGTCTAACACCAGCATATGACCTAATCATCCCAATCCTATGATAGTTAGAGTTTTGTGTCAGTTTGTCTGGGCCAGGATTCTCTGTTTGACAGTTAAGATGTAGTAATTCCTCATGGTGAACTCTAACATAATGTAATCACTTTTACATTACTATGAGATCTGCTATGAGCAGCCAATCACCTGGAGTTTCTTCAGGGAGGTAGCCTGCTTCCGGTATATATGGATGCCATGGAAAAGCTGGCCTGCTTTTTGTTGAGTCTGGGAGGGGTTAGCAGGCTACTAACTTAACCTGCTGACCTTGGATTCATTTGTCTCTGCAGCCAGAAGTCTGCTGTCTGACCGGTCATTCCTGGGTTCATCATTCCTGTTTAAGTCAGGAGAAACTTCCAGACATCGGACCCTCAGACTCAGAACTTGCTCATCTCTTTCTATGACTGCGTGAGCCATCTCCTTGATAGAACCCTCTCTGAACACATACATAGATAAGATTCACTGGTTTTGCTTCCCCAGAGAACCCAGCCTAACACATTACCCCAAATAACTGAAAGCGGAAACACAAACAAAAACTTGTATACCAAAGTTCATTGCAGCATTATTCTTAATAGCTAAAAGGTGGAAACAATCCAAGTGTCCAATGCCTTAGTTTTCTCTTGCTGCTGCAACAGAAATCCCACAGTGGATGGCTTTCACAGACAGAGGTTTTTCTTTCTCCGTGTTTAGGAGGCTGGAAGTCCAAATTCAAAGTGCCAGCTCTAGGTCTGGGAGCCTTTCTCTCTTTGTTGGCTTTGGAGAAAGTTCCCTGTCTCCTTTCAGCATTTGTAGGACCAGCATTCCTTGGAGATCTCCATGGATCGTGGCTTCAATCTTCCTCTGAACCACAAGGTCGGTGGTTCAGGCTCACCAGCTGCTCCTCAGAAACCCTATACAGGGTCGATAGGAGTCGGAACTGACTCAACAGCACTTATCAACAGCACCAAAAACAATGTGATCCTTTTCAGAGCAGTTGGTAGTGATAGCTGGACACCATCTAATTCTGGCCCCCAGGGGATGGCAACTAATGGTCACGTGGTCCATTAGTCCATTGGACTGATTGTTTTCAAGCACTTTCGATTGTCATCACTCTCCTTTCTTCTGGACAGGAAGACACCAATCATTGAACCTTAGCTGGACATTCATGAACCATCAAGATCCCAGGCCCTACTCACCAAAGAAGGTTGTAGAATATTTTCTTTGTGGACTAGGTAATGTTAATTGACCAGGTTGCCCCCGGAGACTATGGTCCCGAGTGCCCCCAGGCCCAGTGACTCATTCCCTCAAGATAATGTCAATACATTTTCAAAACTTTGTCCCACATGTGCTCCGCCATACTCAAGGATATGTTTGCAGTAAAGGTATATTGTTGTTGTTGTTAAGTACCATGGAGTGGGTTCTGACTCATAGTGACCCTGCACAGGGTTTCTGAGGCTGTAAATCTTTAAGGGAGCAGAACAACTCATCTTTCTCCCACGGAACCACTGGTAGTTTTGAACTGCTGACCTTGAGGTTGGCAGCCCGAGGTACAAATATCCTCTATCAAAACTTTATATAGTTGTGAGTATAACTCTACTCTCCCTTCCAGACCTGTTCAGTCTGTGTGCCTATCCATGTTTCTACCCGTAGACCACTTTGTGGCAGGACTGTGCAATAGAATGGTATGTACTGTGTGGTGGTAGTGGTGGTGTGCTGTGGAGTTGGTTCCAACTCATAGCGACACTGCATAGGGTTTCTGAGGCTGTAAATCTTTACGGGAGCAGAAAGAGTATTTACTTCTGTTGCCCTTAACTCTTGTACTCCTCCCTCATGTCTTCCCATGCCTACATCATTCTTTTGCCAACATCCCTCTTCACCTAAGTTAACACATGCAAGGTCGATTTGAACTGCAAGGTCAGAGGTTCAAGCTCACCAGCTGCTCCTTGGAAACCCTATAGAGAGTCAATTTGACTCAGAATCGACTCCATGGCACTCAACAACAACAACAACAACTCTCTAGCCTGTGAATTACTCCCCCTTCCCTGCATCCCTGGTAATTACCTACGAATGTTTCTTTTAGTGTAAAAACCTTTTCTTGATTTTTTATAATAGTAGTCTTATACGATATTTGTCTTCTTGTGATTAATTACTCAGTACAATGTTCTCCAGATTTATCTATATTATGTTGTGTTTAGTCCGTATTCCATTGTGTGTATGTACTAAAGCTTATCCATTCTTCCATTGATGGGCAGTTAGGTAGATTCCATCTTTTTAGCTATCGTGAATAGTGCTGTGATGAACTGTAGTGTGCAGATATCTACTCATGTTAAGGCTCTTCTTTCTCTCAGATATATACCAAGTCTTGTATGTTATCTTAATGATATTGTTTGATAATTTATGCATTCTGTTTGACCACTGTTGTTTGGAGTAGGCATGTACAGGGATCTCTTCTAGTTTGTGGACCAAGTAGCTGTCTCCAAATTTCTTGGCATCGTTCTATTTAATTCCTTTAATGGCTACATACTATTTTATAGTCTAAATTTATCATGCTCTATTCAGACAGTTTCTTAATGATTGACTCTTGCTACATTTCCAGTTTATTGAGATTGGAAGCACAGCTGAACGAATAGCCCTTGGATGTATGATTTTACATAATGTACGATGCGTTTACATCTCTGAAATTGCTTTCCTGAAAGAGCATTGCTGAGTCAAAAGGTTTGGGGACTTTAAAAATTAATGGCTTTTGCCAGATTACTTTGCTGCTTGGCTGTTTTCACACCTTATGTTTGCATTATTTATATTTTATAATAATTGGTGATCTTGACAAATGGCTTCAGTAGAATGATGAGAAGGAAGTTTAAAAGAGAATGTGTTAGCTCTCTTTTTCGTGACGCC